AATGAGATAAACTGAAGAGACAGCACAATGTATACATTTTATAGCCTGCCCTGATTTCTCTTACAGCAATTAAACCATTTGCAGATACAGGTCATGACCTTTAAAGCCTTTTTTAAGAATCACCTATTTTTCCACATAATGCAACAGAAGGCATAGTTAACAAAGGCTTCATCTTCACTGCAGTCACAGCAGTGATTGCAATATAGTGTAGAGACTGGGTGGCCAACCTGAAGTATATGGGCCACAAATGGCTCAGGCAGCCTCTGTGTGGCATGCAGCAGACCAGGGAGGGGACAAACAACACAGTAGCAGTTAGGGCAGGAAGCAGAACACAGAGCAGCATATCAGGCAGGGAGTTCAGGGCTGGGAGGAGAAAGCAGAGCAACAGATTTAGTAGTAACGTAGAGGCAGGGAACAGAAAGTAGAGCAGCCAATTGGGTAAAGGAAGGGGAAGGAAGTAGCACTCTGGGAAGGGGTGGGGCTAATTTGTGGCACCCCTGCTAAAAAGGTTGGCCTTCACTGGTGCAGAAATCCCTAAGCTAGCTTCAAACTAATTAGAACAGAAACCAGTAGCAATCTAGTCAGGGTAGCACAGAGCTCAGCCTGAATTAATTCATCCTGCTTCTCAATTGCATTGTTGAGACCTGTCCAAAGATACAAGGGTTAATAAAATTTAATTCAAAACTCCCATGGAACTTAAATCATAACTTTTACAGCCAAAGTCTTTATAACGTTGAAGAAAATGGCGATGTGCTCTATTATATAGTTAATTTCTTCAGAGATGCCTTTCATAATGAAATAGAAAGATTACCTAGTACCACTTGATTAAAGATAGAAACAAATGGCTGAAATAAGGGAAGGAATCTGAGGATTTAGATTCTGTTTTGGATTAAACCTGGTGTAAATTTTAATTTACAACAGCATCTAAGTATTGTAGTGCTGGGCACCTTGAAAACTCTTACGGAGTGATAACATGAGGTGCCTGTACACATGCGGGGAGGTTGCTCCAATGCACTATAATTACAGCACATTGGAGCAGACTCGATTAATTGATAAATCAAGTCTTCTGGAGCATGGTAATTACCATGCTGTAGCCAACTTCCACATCTCATGTATCGACATCTCTGTGCTTCAGAATGGTGGTGGGGGTGATTTAACTAAAGCTTGTTCAATGAGCTTTAGTTAAATCACCCCCACCACCATTTTGAAGCATGGAGATGCTTATACATGAGACTCTGTGGGTGTTTTAATTAGATCCCCCTCCCCCTTCCCCTCTCCCTCCCAAGTACATGTAAAAAATGTCCTAGAATGTCAGTGTTTATAATAGCAACAGAGAAGGTATAAACTTTAACAACCAATCAACAGTATCCCAGCAATAAAAGTGCATTTTGGCAATTCACAAGTGATTTACAATTAATAAGATACTAGCTTGAAGAGACAGGAATTATATTTAAGCAAACATCTATAAAAATATGAAACCACATCAGCTGTTACTATCTGATGCACTTTGCCTTGTTACTGTTAGCACTGTCTTGTAAACAATAATGTTCTTAGATGGGTGCAGGGTGAAAGGAGATGTTTCATGTAACAAGCCATACCCAAGGGAAGTCTTTAATTTATTTTTTTATTTATTAATTTTTTTAAGGGCTGGAAGGAACCTTGAAGATCATCAAGACCAGGCCCCTACCCAGGGGGAGGAAGTCAGCTAGAGTCAAAGAACCCCAGCAAGAAAAGCATCCAAGCATTTCATGAATAAGTCCAGAGTAGGTGCCTGCACCACATCTGGAGGGAGTCTATTCCAGGTCTTGGGGGCTCGGACAGTAAAGAAATATTTTGTTATATCCAGCCTAAAACGGGACATACTTACAGAGTATTATCTGACTTTAAACTAGGTATGGTACTCAGTGGGGAGACACTGCAATATATGCAATACAAATGCGGTGTGACTTTGTTTACTTGCTTCTCTCAGACACGTGAATAGCTGTGTTTAGAAGCTGCCACTTTTGTTTGGCTCCTGTTCTTTGCAGTGGGTCAGTGTAGCAGGACCTGCTCCTTTATGGACAGAAGCAGCCTGGCCAGGGAGCCCTGCAGGTTGCTGGTTGCCTAAGCAACAGCCTAATCGGGGTAATTCACCACACCTGCTGGTGGTCAGATGAAGGAGGCAGGGTCCTGGGGACATATAAGCTCAGAGCTGGAGCTAGCAGGGTCACTGGCAACTGCCAAGGGAAGGACCTCCTGCACATGAGAACTTCCCAAGACCTTGTGCTGCCTATTTTGCTGCCTATGAGAACAGTAAGGCTCCAGGAGCCTCAAGGTACTCAGGGCTAAGAGATGTGCTATCCTAGGGGTGGAAAAGTTACCTTCTTAAAGGGGGTGAGCGCTGCCTGCATTGTGAGGGTTATGTTGTAAGGTGCTTATGTTTGTATTGTTATTTGTCCCAGTGGCTCAGGATGAGGCTGTAGGGGATTTGGAGGCCTCATTAGTGCCCGGAGAAAGGGGCACACAATTTGGGAAGAGCCCTAGCCTCTCACCTAGAAACAACTCTTTCGTTACAACAAAGGTGTGGCAGGAAAGTCAGGTGGGCAGACTGCCCTAGACAGGTGGACAGGCCAACATTGTGACCAGCCATGAGATGGCCCCCTTTCACAGTTGGACTTCAAGAAATCAAGGTATGGATAACTGTGCAAAGTACTTATTAAAAGGAGCATAAGTGCAAATGCAAGAGCTATTTCTGGCCACAGCTGCACCTAAATCATCACATTTGCTCCTATGTCTTTATACTTCCCTGTTTCTTCACTGATGCTGCCCTTGAGTGAAGGAGGAGTTATGGATTATGCTACATTCTTGAATTTCTTCTTTGTGTGCATCACCTGTGTTACTCTGTTACTACCATCCATTACCAGTTTGCCTTTAGAGAAGTACCTCATTTGTATTATGTTTAATGTCTTATATTTGCAGGTAAAGAGTTCTAGAACCAAACTAGGTTCTTTCAAATAGACTCCCAACATTGCATTGCATCCTATTATGATCCTATATTGTTAGCTATTTAAATGTACCTTGGAGAACACACAAGTAAATCCTACAATCAAAAGATTTTCTTATGTAGATAGATTTAGGTTTTGATTTATGTATTTTTGTTGAAATGGTGGTCCTTTGTCTTATGTCAGTCCTTGTAGTCTGACTTATGATAACCTTATGAAGTATACACTTTTAAATATAACACTCTATTTTACACATATCAAATGGGAGCCCTATAACTTCTAGTAGGAGAAAAGCTTATATAATTTGTAGCTAAAGAAATACATTCAGTTCCTGACTCCTAACAAGAAATAAACAAAATCATTAAAGAAAAGTTAAGTTTGGCTTAAGTTTTACATAATCTAACAAAAAAATTCCGTCACCAGCCTAATATCTGATTTCAATTTATGACAAGAACTGAGTGGAGAACGATAAAATAAATGATTGGTCAGGGAGGTTCCATTTGAAAGTGTGCATATTTTTAATTACTTTTGAAATGGGAGAGGTGATGTAAATGAGAAAGCTGTCTGATGGATTTGTATTTGGTTTACCTGATAAAGCAAATCACAGCATGAGAAAAAATCAGCATCCAAAATATGAGGTGATATAGCTTTCCCTCTTGTGAGGTTATTAAAATTTTTGGCATAAAATTTTATAAAAATAACAATGACCTGATTATAAATGAACACAAAGCCAAAACAAAGATACCTGTCTTGAATCAAGTCTACCACTACATTTGCCTGCAGTTTTCAGACTCCCTGGGTAGTCTGAAATGAAGAACTCCATAAAAGTCATGATTTATATCTATACCTATAAACTACAAAATAGTCGTTGTTTTCTGGTAGATGGAGCTAGCAAACATATATAAGCCTGCTATCTCCATCTACCAGAAACAGTGATTACTGTGTAGTTTTCAGAACCTCTTCATCTATAAACTGTGCTTTTAAAAAGATAAGCATGATAGTAATACAGGTGGACTATGACCATGCTTCTCTACAAGAGAATATAAGGAGAATTTTTCCATCCCCACTATAAAATCTTCTACTTCATTGCCATTTATCTTCCCAACCTTTTTGACCTACCTTTTATGGCTTCATCCCCCAAGTTGTAGGGGGTGTTGGGGGGGGGTCGGGAAGTGGAACAGGATATTTCTAATTATTTTGATAATATCCTACACCCTAGAGCAGGGGTTGCCAACCAGGGGTATGCATATCTCCAGTAGTACTTAAGAAGGCCCTAGAGGATACGTGCGGGCAGGGATGGAGTGCTACCATGCATGATGCTGTGCTGCCATGCAGGCACTGCCCATGTGGCTGGCTGTGAGGGGGCGGGGAAGCTCACATGCTATGGCTGCCACCGCTCCACATTTTGGCCATGCACCCCCCCACACCCTGCTTTGTAGCTAGCCACGCATGCACCCTCCCCCCCTTGCTTTGTG